TGTCCAAAGGGCCAGCCTTTTCCCTATTTCACTAAATCCTGCCCATTGATGAAATGAAGTATTTGCCAGCCAGCAGCCAGTCAGGATTTCTGGCATCACAGAAGGTTCTGGCCAATCACACGCAGAGAAAGGAGGGGTGTGTGAAAGAATGAATGGATATGCAGTGGTCTTACACCCCCTAGAGCAGGAGATGGTTCAGCATAGCAGCATTGCAAGATGCAACCTCCGAGCTGAAGAACAAGGAAATCGGCAAGGGGAAGCCAGATCTATGGGATATATGCTCATACAATGCAGTATTCTTGGAAATGCTGGAGCTGGGATCTTCCATTTCTAAAGGGGGGGGTATCCTGCATGTGTTCTATTTCCGGAATGATATGCTTTCTGATTTTAATCGTCTCCAACCAGAACCTTTGGGAATATCCTCATGCAGATAAGGTGAATAAGGCACCTAGGCTTGCATACTGCTTCCGCGTGATTATCTACCGCAATCTATTACAATTGCTACCGTAGCTACAATTATATTTTACTAATTTTCTTTGTGCGCGTTGTGATTGCAGAAGGCGTAAAACACTGTACACTGGAGGAGGGCGCTCAGATTTCGCATGTTCTCCTCGTGTGAGCTAATAAATTTTAATTAATGAATTGTAAAGCAGCTTTAGATTGTATACGTCAAAATCTTTGCGCCGTCTCAGGACGTGCTCATTTCCATTGCTCGATTTAGCTAACGAGGCAGATTACAATTAAACAGCAGTTTGCGGTTCTATTGGCGTCTTCCTGCGGATAGAATTATTTAATATTTTAAAAACGTTACAGTAGGTAAATACAAGACTCAACACATATTGCGAACAGGCAATGCATGATTTCTTTTCTAAATTACGGATTATCCGAAAAACAAAACCTACCGCCCTTTTTTATTTAGGCTAAACGTATAATATTAAACTGTTTCTATTTGTGCAATTTTATGATGCTATTAATTAGTTTGTCTTTTTCTTCCTGGTTTTAAGAAATTGAAAACTTTTCATCCAAACTCTGAAGACATTAATTCCAAGAATCTAAGGTGGTTTTGTTTTTGTATCTTTTTTTTAGAAATCCCGAGAAATGGAGAGCTGACGAACGAAGAACTCACCTCCATGACCATAATTGTGACAGTGGGATGAGCAGGGGTTAATTGTTATCTTTGGTTATCTAGCTGTATGAGTGTTGTCAATTCTTCATAAAGCTAGATAACCGAAAGTAAAAATAACCTCATTACGCGCCTTGTGCAAGTGCTTTTGTCCGTACACAAGAGAAAGGACAGGAAACACCAAGGAGACAGAGACATCTTCAAAAAATGGAAATAAAAGAAGAACTATGTTAAAAAAAAAAAAGGTTAACTTTGCTCCTGGAGGTAGGATTTTTCTGATCACTCTTCTGTGAGGTTTTGATGAAAAATGTCTTGTCCATACGTCGTGGACGTATCTTGACCTATGACATGGCTGTATTAAACACAGCTTAAAAAAAATAATGATTAACTTTCCAAAACAAACTCATTAAATAATGAAGAGACTTCATCCTGGATGTTGGATTACGATAGCATTGTGTCTTTCTGAACATTGTGAATAGGACAATCCACCGAGGGTCAATGCAATATTTGTAATAGTTTTGGGCAAGACCTGGCACAAGACATTCTATTAGGGAACAAAAAAAATCACGTAACAAACATTTTAAAGGGATGTGCTAGTTTGTTTTTTTTAATCGGTCATGTGTCTTAAATGTGTGAAGAGTTGTAAAATATATATATTTCCATATTGGAAAAAAGATAACTAGGATCTGTGAAGGCCAGCTAAATATGTTAATTGGAGAACAATATATATAAATACATGATTTAACTCAAGCTATTACATGGGGAACAAATCCCAAAAAGAGAATTGTCTAAAAAATTAAAAAAAAACAACAACAAAGAATGCTATTAAAAAAAAATAGCACTTTATCTAAATTTTAAACCCAAAGTTTAAGAACAAATGTATATTATTTAGTTATATTTTTGAGGGTAACATTTTTCTTGTAACTCGTTTGGAGGAGTATTTCAGGAGGAGGGAACCGTGCTTTTCCGCTGTTTGATTTAGCCCGTACAATTAACTTGTTTTCCACTAGAACGGGTTTGTAAGAAAACTTCTCATTCCACTCCATGGAAGCGACATTTGACCAGGGGTCGTTGCCTGCTGAGAAGGATTGCATTTTAATCCCACCCCTAAGTAAGGGGATTATGTAGTTAGTAAATTCAATAAAATGAAAGATCACCTACAAAAAAAAAAAAAAAACTCACCAGGGAAGGGAGATATTTAACTCTATAAAAGGAGGGTTGGCGTTGAATTGAACTTTGTAAAGAGAGAGCTGAGTTTTTGAATGTCGTTTTTGTTCTGCTAAGTTGGAGGGACGTTTGTAGAATTATTGTCAAAGAGACAATAAACTTCTTTAAAGTTTAGTAAACTTATAATAATCGTTCCTCCTGCATTTAGAGTTATATTGAATGACGACAGATTATTTTACTTTTTGTAAAGCATACTAAGTTCATGTGCTGAACACTTTTAGTCTTAGGGAATAAAAGATGCCCTGACTATGATATTGTAACCAATACAACTGTTGCCTAATAGAAAGAAATTGTATAATTAATAGCAGCTTCAATTTGATATCCTTTAAAAGTGTCAAATGAGCTTACAATCTACTAATAGAAACTTTAATAAGTCGTATGATTAGAGAGCCTCAATATGTATGTATATACGTATTAAATATTCTATGATGTTATGTCCCATCTATTCTCAATTAGATCAGTTATGACTGAAATTTTAAACTTATGACATTTTTCCTTACATGGTGGAATCTGAAATATTAGTAATGATTTCTAGGATATTTTATTAAACAAAAAAATGACCTTAATCTAAAAATGCCCACTTGGTAAACAAGGCTTTATGTGATTATGGTGTGTTAACTCAAGCAGCGTTAACTCGCTTAACATGGGTGCTCTTGCTGTTTTGGAACTGTTGTTCTTGATTATTGTTAATTTTTTTTAGAAATGATATGATTTAGGCGAGATTTTTCTTAAAGTATCCCCAAAAAATAAAAAAATAAAAATGGAACGTTGTTTTGAATGAACCACATGAGATGATGTGCTGAACCAATCAGAAGACGTCATTTATGATTGCTCTGTAAGAATGTATTTGCTAGTGAGCTCAGCTATTGTTAGATGGGGAATTCTGATTGGCTAGGAGCATGACTAATTTCTCTACAGCATCATTCAACAAACCACAGCATTTGACACAATAAATGTCACATTGCTATTGTAACCATGGCAAAAGCAATGCCTTGTTTATGTTTTTTGGCACAGAAATGGCTTAGTATTATTCTGTAGGGATGCCACTGCATTTTATTATTAACTCTTGAATTTCTGCCTAAAAGTCAATAGTCACCCTTATTTTTACATTTAAAGGCATATCTGAAAATTATTTTAATTAATTCAGAAACTTCCAAATATTTTAAGGGGCACCTGTCCAATTTAGAAACCTGATTATTTTGGTGGTTAAATGTGTAACCCCCTGAAAAAATAGTTCAATTTGATGTAAGACTCTTAGTATCTGCTCATTCACCTTAGGGTATTCAGAATATGCTTATTTCCCTAAGAAACATGGGATCTGTCCATTCACCCTGGGAATCTATTGTCTCTGCCAATCTGCCCTTTTACTGTGACATCTTGTAAATCTGCACCTTCAAAGTGAGAATCTGCCCATTCAATGTGATACCATTCTATGGTATCCTGACAATGACCATCTGCCTGATACAATGGATATCTGCACATCAATCGTGAGAATCTGCCCATTCACACCGATTCCTAAAATCATGTCTATTCATGTTCACCCTGAAACCATCACTGTGAGAATTCAAGTCCCTGAAAATCTGCGTATTCACCAAGAGAATCTGCCCATTTATCCTAAGAATCTACCATTGTCACCCTGATACAGAGTATCTAACTATTTACTCTGGAACCCTGGAAATATTTCCATTCAGTGTGAGAATATCCCTGTTGCCCAGAGAACCTGTCCATTCATTCTGAAAATCTACCTGTTTAGCCTATGATGATGAATAACTACCTATTCACTTTAAGACTCTACCCATTTATCCTAAGAATATACCCATTAATCCTGAGAATCTACCCATTCATCCTAAGTATCTACCCATTCTTTCTGAGTATCTACCCATGCATCCTGAGTATCTACCCATTCATCCTGAGTATCTACCCATTCATACTCATAATATACCCATTCATCCTGAGTATCTACCCATGCATCCTGAGTATCTACCCATGCATCCTGAGTATCTACCCATTCATCCTGAGTATCTACCCATTCATCCTGAGTATCTACCCAGTATCCTGAGTATCTACCCATTCATCCTGAGTATCTACCCATGCGTCCTGAGTATCTACCCATGCGTCCTGAGTATCTACCCATTCACTCTGGGAATCTGCTCATTCATTTTAAGAATATACCTATTCACTTTGAGACTCTACCCATTTATCCTAAGAATATACCCATTCATCCTGAGTATCAACCCATTTATCCTAAGAATTTACCCATGCATCCTGAGTATCTACACATTCACTCTGGGAATCTGCTCATTCATTTTAAGAATATACCTATTCACCTTGAGAATCTACCCATTAATTCTGAGAATCTACCCATTCAATCTATGAATCTCCTCATTCAACCTGAACATATAAGAATTAATTCTGATAATCTACCCATTAACCCTGAGAATGTACCCATTCACCATGTGAGAATACACCATTTCACTATGAGAATCCACCCTTTCACTATTAGAATCTACCCATTCAGTCTGAGAACCAACCATTTAATTCTGAGAATCAACCCATTAACCCTGGGAATCAACCCATTAACCCCAGGAATCTACCCATTTACCATGAGAATCCACCTATCCACTGTTAGAATCTACTCTTTCATCCTAAGCATCCACCCATTAATTCTGATAATCTACCCATTCACCCTGGCAATCCACACATTCACTGTGTGAATCTACCTATTTATGGTAAGAATCTAGCCATTCACTGTAAGAATCTACCCAATCACTGTGAGAATCTAGCCATTCACTGTAAAAATCCACCCAATCACTGTGAGAATCTAGCCATTCACTGTAAGAATCCACCCAATCACTGTGAGAATCTAGCCATTCACTGGAAAAATCCACCCAATCACTGTGAAAATCTAGCCATTCACTGTAAGAATCCACCCAATCACTGTAAGAATCTACCCAATCACTGTGAGAATCTAGCCATTCACTGGAAAAATCCACCCAATCACTGTGAGAATCTAGCCATTCACTGTAAGAATCCACCCAATCACTGTAAGAATCTACCCAATCACTGTGAGAATCTAGCCATTCAATGTAAGAATCTACCCAGTCACTGTGAGAGTCTAGCCATTCACTGTAAGAATCTACCCAATCACTGTGAGAATCTAGCCATTCACTGGAAAAAATCACCCAATTACTGTGAGAATCTACCAATTCCCTCTGGTGCATCTAGTAGACTTGTTCATCACCTTGAGAATAATGCCAATCACCTAATCCATGTGAGAGACCTTCAACTGGAGTAAAAACACTGAGAACATTATTTAAATAGCACACGAGTAATAATTATTTGCAATAACCTACACTCCTTGAATAAAGAAACTAATGGCGAATTGCAAAGAGCGAGTGACTATAGACATTTATGGCAAATGCCGAGCCTAAAATTTGAAGTGTCCTTTTCTTTCCCCAATATGGACCAAATATTAAATTTCTAGATATTTTTTGTATTTATTTATTTATTGGTCTACATTTCAAACAGACACATCATCAAAAATCTGAGCATAGAATATTAGGTTGATCTTAATTTGGAGATGCATAAATGTTCAAAAAACAGGAACTAGAGGAAATTACCTTTCTTCTGATCTAGTTGCTAGAACGTGAGTCAGCTTGATTAGGAGGTACCGGTCTGCATGGTGGACATATTATAAAGGAGAATAGTCAAGGGTAGATAAGTTAATATTTATTATTTATATTTAAATAAATATATATTTTTAAAAATATTTGTTTTCATAGTACAGATAAAATACGAAGGACATTGGTGGTGGATGGAAAGTATGGACTTTTGAAACTTCTAAATACATTCTACATATTTAGATAATCAATATGTAAAGGGCTTTTTTTAGATGCTAAATGAGGAACTGCTTCCATTTGGACAGGGGACGAGGTGGTCAAATGTGAAATATTATGAAAAAAACTTTTGACTACTACAATAGCTCGATATACAACGTGAAAGGTCCTTAAATACAATTTCATTCATAAATAGTCCTCTCTTGCCTTGTTTTTACCCTGATTTCCCACCTTAGTGGCGAAAAGAGGTATGACTGAAATCCATAATTCATAGGTAATTGATATCAGCACAAAGCACCAGAGGTATTTAGAGATTTTTAGCCCATTCTGGCATGAATGACAATATGGGAGTAACTAACAGCTCTATATGCCCACTTGTGCCAAAAGGCAAGCAAACATTGCTAGTATGGGGATTTTTCCAAAATTTGTGTCTCTTTAGGCCCTAACTTAAAGAGATATTGTGATCTGAGTAGATTAGGTCAATTAACTAAAAAATATTAAACTCGGAATCAAAACACACTGGAAAATTATTTTAAAGTTAAAGCATGTCTAATAAAGATTGAGAATTCCGAAGTCACAAAAAAAAAAAACTAACATTGACAATTTTGTATATTTTCATTTACTGAACATAGGCTAACTGGTATAAATGCTCCTGTTACTTTAAATTGAGGAAAATGTTATTCTCTGTAGATATTAAACTGAGCAATATTAATATGGCCAAAATGTACATTAATAATTTCTTAAATGTTTTTCTGTTTGTTTGTTTGTTGTATCGTTTTGGCCCAGTTTATTGTACTTGGGATTGTTAAGTGATGCATGGTATCACAATATATGTCTAAATGTATTTCTGATCATTAATTCTTAATTTAAGGGTATTTTAATGTTAAACCTGTATGAAATGAACTGGGATAATGTAAACACAATGCTATGCACAACATTAATAAAATTATTTGATTTAGAAAAAGAGGCACAGAAGTATTTATTTCAAGGAAATTATGCAAATACGTTATATTTGTGCTCTATGATTAGCATAGGCCTGAGAATATAAATCTAGTGTTTCGCTAATTGTGTTAAACTGTGTTTGTTTGATTATTTAGCTCAAGCAGTTGTGGTGTGAAATATAATTTTTATGGTCTGAGCTACATAATTATTATTTTTGAATAATTTTTTTTTTTTCTGGCACAGCACAGGCATTTTATTTAAATGAGCCTCTTCTCAGGCAAGAGGCTTATTGGACTCAAAGGTCTCTGTTGGGCTAGACAAGAAAAAAGAATGAATACAGACCATAATAGGTCCTTTGTAGTTACAAAACAGGTGTGACAAGCTGGTCAGATGTTTACAACCATGCTTTAGAGCACAGCGCTCCAGATATTGTGAACTACATCCTCCATAATGCTCTTACAGCCATGATGCTGGCAATGCATCAGAGGTGATGTAGTCCACAACATCTCCAGTGCCAAAAGTTAATAAATGGTATGTTAAATTTCCACTAATTTTTTGCTTTACACATATTAAAAAGTAAAATAGTTGCCAAGCCTACCTCACCCGAACCATTCATGAATTTTGCTTGAAAAAAAGTTCTACTAATAACAGAATAAGAAGAATTTCAGTAACTTGTACATTACTACATAAAATATACAAGTTAACAAGATATAAATGTCTCCCTTTTCCAAATACACTGACTCATAACAATAAAATCAACGTTCGTTGAGAATCCCCTAGTTTAGTGGGAGATACAGCCTGTCAAATTCATTTACTACTCTGCACTTCTAAATGAGGTGAGTGTGCTTATCTCACTCTTTAGGTTTAAACTAAATTTCCCAGAATTCTCTGCCATTCATGGACTGTTATTCTCGCCGTGACATCACACCTATATAACCAGCGCCAGCTCCCACGATGCAACGCAGCAGTTTTATTTTTAGACATGTAATCTAAATATAAAATCTGCATTTTATCCTGATATAAAGGATTTAAACAGGAAAATATATATGCCAAACACAATATTCAACACTCTTTTAACAAGAAAATTCTAATTTGGATTAAATTTCATAAACATAATGTAAAATGCGGACACTACAAGGCAATCAAACCTTGTTTTTCAATGGGTTATCGTTTAAACACCTTCTAACTATTATATAGTCTTTTCACCCATTTCCCACCAAGTGTTTGTGTGTAAGTGTGTGGGTGCTGTGTATCCAGCTTATATATCAGTTAATCAGTTCTGTTAGCTATGCCCAAGTCCAACCACAATGTTCACTAAACTTGCAGCACTGCGGAGATCATATCAGTGTAGGCAAGTAGGCACGTTCTGGACACAGTATGGGTTTCTAGGAGTGTTCGTTCCGAAGCTTTATACTGTTATGATATTATGTTCAGCTGTATTTTGATTAATATGTACAAATAAAACACAAAGCATACTTTATTGCAACATAACCTACACAGTGCACCTAATGTGTGTGGGAGCCTGGAGTGTCCCTTTAATAATTTAAACCCACCCAGTATAACTGTAACCTAACCTACACAGTGCATCTAACATGTGGGGGAGCCTGGAGTGTCCCTTTAATAATATAAACCCACCCAGTATAACTAACTGTAAGCTAACCTACACAGTGCATCTAACGTGTGTGGGAGCCTGGAGTGTCCCTTTAATAATATAAACCCACCCAGTATAACTAACTGTAACCTAACCTACACAGTGCACCTAACGCTTGTTGGAACCTGGATTGTCCTTATAATACTATAATCCTATCCAGTGTAACTAACTGTAAGCTAACCTACACAGTGCATCTAACGTGTGTGGGAGCCTGGAGTGTCCCTTTAATAATATAAACCCACCCAGTATAACTAACTGTAACCTAACCTACACAGTGCATCTAACGTGTGTGGGAGCCTGGAGTGTCCCTTTAATAATATAAACCCACCCAGTATAACTAACTGTAACCTAACCTACACAGTGCATCTAACGTGTGTGGGAGCCTGGAGTGTCCCTTTAATAATATAAACCCACCCAGTATAACTAACTGTAACCTAACCTACACAGTGCACCTAACGTGTGGGAGCCTGGAGTGTCCCTTTAATAATATAAACCCACCCAGTATAACTAACTGTAACCTAACCTACACAGTGCATCTAACGTGTGTGGGAGCCTGGAGTGTCCCTTTAATAATATAAACCCACCCAGTATAACTAACTGTAACCTAACCTACACAGTGCACCTAACGCTTGTTGGAACCTGGATTGTCCTTATAATACTATAATCCTATCCAGTGTAACTAACTGTAAGCTAACCTACACAGTGCATCTAACGTGTGTGGGAGCCTGGAGTGTCCCTTTAATAATATAAACCCACCCAGTATAACTAACTGTAACCTAACCTACACAGTGCATCTAACGTATGTGGGAGCCTGGAGTGTCCCTTTAATAATATAAACCCACCCAGTATAACTAACTGTAACCTAACCTACACAGTGCATCTAACGGGTGTGGGAGCCTGGAGTGTCCCTTTAATAATATAAACCCACCCAGTATAACTAACTGTAACCTAACCTACACAGTGCACCTAACGTGTGTGGGAGCCTGGAGTGTCCCTTTAATAATATAAACCCACCCAGTATAACTAACTGTAACCTAACCTACACAGTGCACCTAACATGTGTGGGAGCCTGGAGTGTCCCTTTAATAATATAAACCCATCCAGTATAACTGTAACCTAACCTACACAGTGCATCTAACGTGTGTGGGAGCCTGGAGTGTCCCTTTAATAATATAAACCCACCCAGTATAACTAACTGTAACCTAACCTACACAGTGCATCTAACTTGTCTGGGAGCCTGGAGTGTCTCTTTAATAATATAAACCCACCCAGTATAACTAACTGTAACCTAACCTACACAGTGCATCTAACGTGTCTGGGAGCCTGGAGTGTCCCTTTATTAATATAAACCCACCCAGTATAACTAACTGTAACCTAACTTACACTGTGCATCTAATGTGTGTGGGAGCCTGGAGTGTCCCTTTCATAATATAAACCCACCCAGTATAACCAACTGCTACCTAACCTACACAGTGCATCTAATGTGTGTGGGAGCCTGGAGTGTCCCTTTAATAATATAAACCCACCCAGTATAACTAACTGTAACCTAACCTACACAGTGCATCTAACGTGTGTTGGAACCTGGAGTGTTCCTTTAATAATATAAACCCACCCAGTATAACTAACTGTAACCTAACCTACACAGTGCATCTAACTTGTCAGGGAGCCTGGAGTGTCCCTTTAATAATATAAACCCACCCAGTATAACTAACTGTAACCTAACCTACACAGTGCATCTAACATGTCTGGGAGCCTGGAGTGTCCCTTTAATAATAGAAACCCACCCAGTATAACTGTAAGCTAACCTACACAGTGCATCTAATGTGTGTGGGAGCCTGGAGTGTCCCTTTAATAATATAAACCCAC